ATAGATTATTGTATGCATGTAGTATAACCGCGTACGGCCGACTGCTACTGCTCTCTCCTCTGCCTTTATTACCGTATATATACTCTCCTATATATGCATGTACTAGGTAACTACGTGTGCTGTACTTGTATTGTTGTACCTTATTAGCTTGCTTGGAATAAATTTAACACAAGTGGGTTAATAATGACCGTCACTTAGATCCTGTTTTGAATCCATCATCTAAAGTCTAGACGGTTAAAGTTAAGAGCTAAACATTTTCGTTTACTCGTGTGGTCTAATGAACTAGTAGTTTTTTTTGTAAGATTAGCTAAACATTAGACAATATTTTAGACTATTTATTGCACATCTCCTATTCTACATACGCCTGAATTGATTTCAGGAGTCGTTCTCCTGCCAACGAGTTTTAGGTTTGCTGCTCTCCCCTACAGCCGCGGAGAAGCTGTCAGGCCGGCCAGGCGGAGGAGGCGGACGCGAGCGGAGCGGTGAGGCGGCAGGAGGAGGAAGATGGTTTTTTGGCCAGGGAAGGGTGGGGAGGTACAAGGATCCCTTCTCTTCTCTTCCTCTCCCTCTCTTCTTCTCCAACGTCGGCGTGCTTAGAAGGGGCTCAGGGGAGGCAAGCTGGCCTGGCCTGGGCGGGAGGGTGGCGGTTATAGTTTCGACGTCGTAGGAGGCGGCCGGGTCAGGTCGGGGCGGGGCGCCCGTGGCCATGGCGACGGCGAGAGGGGGGAGGGGAAGAAGGAAGTCGCCGTGGCATGGTGGGTGGTGTACGGGTGGGGGCGACGGCACCGGCGAAGCCTGTTTAGCTCGGCGGGGGTGGCAGTGGCGAGCTCGATCGGTGGCGGGGACTCCGCTGGGGTGGCTGAGGGATGGCGGGAGGCGGGGGAGTGGGGTAAGTTTTTGCTCATTGATCTGTTATTTTAGAAAAAAGAACAGTAACTGGCCTTAGGTAGAAGACAACACTGACCATCGGATGTTCAGCCTACCATGGGAATCCATCATCTTGAGATGAAGCATGTTTTCACGCGAGTGATGTATAACACATCCCATTTATTTGGAGCTTCAAGAATTGAAGTAGTCTAAACTTTAGTGGCTATGAGATCTAAATATGCTCCGATGAGAATCAGGAAGGACACGTCTTTTTTTTTAAGCTGGCAACCCAGCGATGGTTTTAGCGTGTGTTTCATTCTTGCTGTTACTGTTATGTTTTCGATAAAAGCAGGTTTTTCCTTGTAAAAAAATATGCTCTTAACGGGGGGAAATGACTGCTAGTACCTCTCGTATTCGGATACCAGACAAGGAACTGGGATGCATGGCCTTTTTTTCACCGTTCATTCACCAGAGCTAGCAAGTAGGAGTGCTAGCAAGCAAGACATGGAAAGGAAAACAAAAAAAGAAGTGTAGTACGGAGTAGTATGTAATAGTTGGATGCATGTCATGTGCGAGGCATGTGGTGTGCTGACTGTTGCCGGCGTTGCATGCTCTGTCCTGTGTCTGACTGAGTGACTAAATAATGCTAGATCCATCCGCAGGCTGGGGATCATCCGGTCGATTCTTTCTTCAGAATCGATCATGCAACCTGGTACTCTACTGATCCTACCTATCATGTGCTCGATCTGTCGATCATGTGATGATGATAGATCCATCCAGTCAACTGGGGAGAGATCCTCTGTAATAACCATAGAAAAATGACGGTCAACTAGAGAGAGATGGCGCTTCGTTCACGCATGCAGTTGACAGTTCTATCGTCTCCTTGTCACCTTGCGTGTTTCTTATTCTCGAGGCATGGTAAAGTTCAGTTGTGTCTAGACAATGTTTTGACGACGGCGTAGGTTGCATTGCTTGCATCTTCCGATGGATGAGTTCGAGCCGTTTTCCTCTAAATAAGTAACGCGGGTTAGTCATTTTGGTCCAGTAATTATTGCCCCTAAATTTTCAAAACGACTGTAAAGTTCTATTTTTGGAGCTGTCTAGTTCATTCTAGCACTGTTAAGGTGACAATTTTAATCCTCAAACTTTGTATTTTGGGCCTAGTTTCATCTAGAACTATTAAAGTACATTTCTTTTTTGTTGCTCAAAAAAAGTACATTTCTTTTCTCAAACTTTTTTTTAGCTCAACTTTATCCGTCCTCCTCGTCATATGCCGAACGTTGCAAATGTCGCATCTATTAGCTCCAGAACCACTTAGAAATTTGAGATGGACGGTCGTCGTTAGGTACCAATGTCCCTAACATCGTCTCCAGCTGATGAATCTAATAGCGTACTTTAATTCTAACATTTATGTTCATATTTTAAATGAATATCTAGATAACCTCGAATATAAATAATCGTATCGGTCGGATTTGATAGAATACTATTTAATTATATTTTTCTCATTTCAATAACTAAATAGTTCATATGAACAAAAACATACTATTTAAAATTATAATCAGTCATTAGTTGAACCTGGCGTTAGAAATAGCTAGGAAAAAAATTTGTCGATCTACTGTTGTTCCGATTAAACATCATTTGTAGTAGCCTTAATTATTACTCCTACAAAAACAACAATGTAGTAGGATATATATATATATATATATATATATATATATATATATATAAACAGTACCAATATAAGGCAATACTTAAAATAATGTATTAGAATTAATAATTGCCGTTAAAGAGTTTTTAGATTGTCCACTAATGATATTTTATCTAAATATTGTTTTTAAGAACTATTCTCAAAAATTGAAGTGTGAGAACTAAAATGATCACTTTGATATTACTGGCATGAGAACGTAAAAGTAAACTCTAAGGACTAAGGTCCTGTTTGGAATCTATAATATAAAGTTTAGGTATTAGACTTTAGACCACTTTAGCTCTTAAGGCTCTAATTAAAAGGTTCAAAGTATAGTCTCAAGTTTAGTCAACCCTACAAAAACTTTGGACTACATTATATAAGTTAAAGTGGTCTCAAATTTTAGTCTTTGACTTCAAATAACCAAAGTTTAGAACGTATAATCCAAATAGGCCTAAAACGATCGTTTTGAGAGTTTAGAAATGAAATTAAGGCTTAGATGACAAATAATCGAGGTACTAAAACAACTATTCCATGAATAAGTAACATTTAACCACTGCAATGATCCTAGCTTAGATGAGCAGGCGCAGACGTCCCGTGATCCCGTCCGCCTGTCTGATTGAGATCAAAACCCCAACACGAATATAGCGACGAAAAACACCTGTCTCTCTCGGAACACCGTGAATCTTGGTCAGTTTGCTGCCCGGCCCTCGTTCTTGCATCGTGTCGCCGCTGGCGGGTCCGGCCAGCCAGATCAACCGACGCGACGGCAACAGCAAGCGAGTGTCCCCGTCGCCGTCGGCCCCGTGCCCCCGTCCCGTCCTGCAAAAAACCACATGCGCGCGTGCTGCCCTGCAGTAGCGGTACACATGATCCCAGCCATTCGTCGATCCAGTCCAGCTTTGCCATGTCGTGCAGTGTCATGCCCAGCCCACCGCCGGCAGTTGGAGCCGGCGCCTCCAGCTTTGTTCCATGGTGCGCGCTGCGGCTAGCGCACCCGCGCCGCACGCACGTCTCAGTCGGTCTCGTCATGTTGCTGATCTGACGCTGATGCCGGCCACCACCGATCCACGAGCAGCTTCCCGTCGTCGGCTTGGCGCCTTGGCCTGGCCACCATCACCGTACCATGGGCACCCCACATGCCACAGGTGGTCGGTCACTCATCTCGGCTCTCAATCGCTTTATCTGGCTCTGGCCCATGTGATCGTTCTTTCTCGGGCCTGAATTTTCTGTGGGTCGGGACTGGGCGGATCTTCCACGGACCGGACGGGCACATTAGCCCATGCTGGATGAGCGGACCTGTTATTGGGCTGACTGCTCCTAGTGCTTTCGGCCTTTTGGGGGAGGAACAGGAAGGGCCGGTCTGCTATCGCTGGGCAAAAGACGAGTGAAGAAAGTCAAAAAAAAAAAAACGAGTGAAGAGATTTTGGTCTCTAATCTATAAATGTAACCTTCTTTAACTTTTGAAAACCGTTCACTTTTACACCCGGGCAGTTTCGCTGATGTGGCACCGCATTAGAAGAGGTAAATCGAACTAAGTTGAAGTTGGGGTAAATCAGACTAGAAATATTTTTATAAGAAATATCTAAAACCTAATAAAACATAAAAATTATTTAAATAATATACTTTTACATGAAAATAATTCAATTAAAAATCCTAAATCTAGTTTGATCTTCAAAATTCATAGAGAGTTTATTTTAGCTCCAAAAATTATGAATTTTTATGAATTTATGATTTTTTTCGCTAGCGAAGCATCTTTAAGACCATAGTGGGCACTATATTGATCATATCTAAAACTAGTTTCATAATTTTCCTAGCTATTTCAAATTTTTATAAATTTTCTAAGATTAAACAAGGTTTTAGGATTTAAATTGTACTATTTTTCATGTAAAAATATATTTGGATAAATTTTTTGAATTTATATGAGTTTTAGATATTTTTCTAAAAAATATTTGTAGTCCGATTATCTCCTCGAATTTTCAACTTAGTTCGATTAACTCATCTGACGTGGCGCCACATGAGCAAAATCACCATCAAAACTGCTAAGAATGTAAAAGTAAATGGTTTTAAAAAATGGAGGAGGTTAAAAACTGGTTTTGTATATCAGATTGAAAAATCGGACAACCATAATAATTGAGGGAGGTTAATAAAGTTGTTTTTCCCAAAGAGGAGCTGCAGGCTCGCAGAAGGCAGCGACATGCTCGGTGTTACAGGCCGTGGCAAGTGATAATGGTGGCAACGAATATCGTTAGACTCTGAATCCGACAAATGACAAGGTTGCCGAATGTACTCCTGTCCACGCAAACGCTACTGATGCACAAGACTCGTCTCGTTCATGTCGCGGTAAGCCGGCACTCCGATTTTCCACGAACCCAATCCGCATCGTGTCAGTACGCCCAACCACTCATAGCTGCTACCCCACAGCATCTGTGGCGTTCGTTCGCCTGCCATGGCCACACACCTCCACCGGCTGCTGCTGCTCTTCCTCCCTTCGCTCCTCCTCTTCCGCCGCGGCACGCCGCCGCCGCCGCCTCCCAGTCCCAGCGCCGTGTACCCTGTCGTGCTGCTGCCGGGGAACACCTGCAGCCAGCTCGAGGCGCGCCTCACGGACGCGTACGAGCCGCCGCCGGAGTCGCCGCAATGCGGCGCGGGCAGCAACGAGCGCGGCCGGTGGTTCCGGCTGTGGAGGAACGCCACGGCCATGGACGACCCCGCCGTCGCGCCGTGCCTGTCAGACCAGCTCCGCGTCGTCTACGACCCCGCCGCCCGCGACTTCCGAAACGTGCCGGGCGTGGAGACCCGCGTCCTCGGCTTCGGCTCCACCACCGGATTCCTCGCCGACACTGAAGCCAACAAGTAAGTAGTAAGCATTAAGCCCGGCCACCGTCGTCGATCTCCTCCGACGTCCCCCCTCCCTACAGTCATGAACGTGTTTGTTGATGGCTATACAGAGACCTCTGCATGGGGAGGCTCGTCGAGGCGTTGCAGCAGGTGGGGTACCGCGACGGCGAGACGCTGTTCGGCGCGCCGTACGACTTCCGGCAAGCACCCGCCGCGGCGGGGCAGCCGTGCCGCGCCTTCGCGCGGTTCACCCGGCGGCTGAGGGCGCTCGTGGAGCGCGCGAGCAGGGAGAACGGGGGCAGGCCCGTCGTCCTCGTGTCGCACAGCCAGGGCGGCTACTTCGCGCTGGAGTTCCTGAACCGGAGCCCGCTGTCGTGGCGCCGCAAGTACGTCAAGCACTACGTCATGGCGTCCACGGGCCCCGGTGGGCTCCTGCTCGGCATGCGGAACCTCGTGTCCGCGCCCGACGAAGCAGTGGAAGCCCCCGATGCGCTCGTGACGCTGCCGTCGCCGACGGTGTTCGGGCCCGGCACGCCGCCGCTGGTCGTCACGCAGGACAGGAACTACACGGCGAGCGACATGTCGGAGTTTTTGACGGCGATCGGCGTGCCCCCGCTCGGGGTGACGCTGTACGAGACGCGGGCGCTCCCGGTGCAGCTCGGCTTCCGGGCGCCGGTGGTGCCGACGACCTGCATCAACGGCGTCGGCGTGTCCACGATGAAGCAGTTGGTGTACTGGGACGGCAACTTCAGCGAGACGCCGCAGGTGGTGTACGGCGACGGCGACGGCTTGTTACCCGCGGCGAGTATAATGGCCCTCGACACGGTGATCGGCGGTGCCCGAGGCAGGAGTACTACAAGTCTATCAAGCTTGCCGACACGTCTCACGCCGGCGTTGTCTCAGATGCTGCGGCCTTGAAGCGTGTCATCGATGAGATTCTTTGGAGCAATCCGATGTGAGGAAGTGTATCAGAGATCAACTCTGTCACTCGTTTGACAGTCAGTTGACTAAATCAAACCTCCACCCTGTTTTTTATATATTGGATTGGATGAAACTTGAGATTTGTATTGACTAAAAAGGGAAACCAAACGTGACCATAATCATGCGTTGCAATAAAACATATAGCTTGTTGCACGGTTACTTTAAGGATATACAGTTTAGAGTTTTTATACAACCATCGTCATATGTTCTAACTAGCAAGGTGACATGCGCCAATAGCATGGGTAACTAGCAAGGTGACCCGTGCAAATAGCACAGGTAGCTAGTTATTTCACTGTAGCTATTTGGCTTATTACATGAATTTTTTGAAAAAAAAAGTTTGTTTGTTTATTTGACTGTAGTTGTTCTCCCTAGATGCTCTCCAAATACATCTATATTCATAAACTCCATACATCATCAACCAAATCCTTGGTTTAAATATCCCTCTTTTTTATTCCACTCCTTTTTCCAGTGGCTAGACCGCAAATTAGGCTCGCCCTGAGCCTGCTAAGTTTTGGCCCACCCACGAACCTTAGTGAATAGGGTCCGGCACAGATCTCGCTGCCTGGGAAATTTTTTCTCGGCCTAAGCCCGAACCGAAATATTTATTTGTAGTTGTTATACACTATAAACTCCGCAAGCGGCCCGCCCAGGCCCAGGTCCGGCCTGACTCGCCCAGTGGGACGGTCATGGGCGGGACTATTTTGGCCTGAAATAATTGGACATTTTTAGCCCCTCTCGTAAAATGCTCGAGTCTACTAGTGGCCGGGCAATTTTAGTTGAGGCGAGACGCAAGTATCCTTCAGTTCTTTGGTGAGTTTAATAAAATCATTGCCTAAGCCTTTTTAAATTTAAATTTTGAATAGTCACATACTACCTTATTCAAAATCTACATTTGTCTTTTTCTCTAAAATAACTTTAGATTCATCGTGATGCTGCTAAGGTCTACTTGAGCTTGGCTCAATCAGTCGTTAGTCGGCCTGTCATCTTACCAATATCCATTGGCTTAAGCATTCCAAAACAAAATTGTGGAACTATCACTGACACCAGTAAATTGTTGACCTCTGACCTCCTACTTATGCTACTCTATGGCATTGTTGTGAGCCAGGTGTTGAAACACTTTGCTTTGCATTGCATATAAACCTAGCGACATTCGGAGTGCAAGCGCCAAAACATTTATGAAAAACACTTTGAAAAGACTAACTTGGCTTTAACATATTTATGATAAATATTTGAGAGTTAGACACTTGAAAGGAGGCACTTGGGTCTCTCAATGCCGTAGTTTAGCTTGCACCAAACGTGTCCGGTGCCACACCGGTCGGGTGGCACCAGATACGACTACCTATTTTTTACTCTGCGCAGCTTCAGCAGGAGCACCATGAACTCTGGTGTACACCAGTTAAAGTGTACCTGATACGGCACACAAAAAGGTCGCAAACCTGCTCTCCCGCTCGTACTGAGCACCGGTCATGTCCGGTGTGGCACCGGTCGCCGCACCGGACAGGGCATCCAGAGAGCTTGTAAATAGAGGTTTTCAGTGGTATAACGCACCTGTCATCATCGGTGGTTGTGCTGGTCACCCGACAGATCCTAGTGGTCACTTTTTCGAACGTTGAACTAGCCGTTGGGAGAGCACCGGTCATGTTCGGTGCTATGACCGGTGCCCCCGGTTTGGCGACCGGTGCACCCTTAGTAGTTCCAAAAGGAGGCAACGGTTGGCTTAAGTTGGTGGGGTTATAAATACCCCTTGCGGCTGGTCATGGCCACTCTCTTGGACCCCTTTTCAACCGAACAAACCTCTTGAGCGCAAAAGAACACAATCCACTCACTTGCATCACTTTGGATCACATTTGGAGTGAGATTGAGAGCCTCTAGTGCATTGCTTATTGATCTTGCATCTTGTGGCACTAGTTGGGCGAGTTGGACTGATGGTGCTCTTGTTACTCTTGGTGATTGCCGTCACCTAGCCAGGCCTAGTGATTGGAGGATCGTTGAGCGAAAGGCGGTGATTGTTTTTGACTTTGATTGATTGATTGTGAGGGATTCTTGTGCTTATTCCCCGTGGGAGATTCACGAAAGATAACTCTAGTGAAATCGTGGCTTGGGTAGCGCCTCTCTAGTGGTTCTTGCGGCGCCCATATGGTGGGCTTGGCATGTGATGCCAATTAGCGCGTGAACCACCTAGTTTAGACTTGCCACAACGTAGGCGTAGGTTGTCGACAAGCAACCGAACTAGGGGATAAATTTCTCTTTGGTATTCTTAACTATCACTTGCTGGGTTCGGTATAACACTCCTTCACTTGCTCATTACTTTCCCAGTATACCTGTGTAGTGCTTGATTGCTTGCTTGAGTAGCTAGTAGAGTAACTTAGTTGTAACTAGTTGTAATTCAGCTCTCTAGTGTAGTAGTAGTTGCTAGATTGTTTGTTTGAGTGAAATTGACCTTAGAGATAATAGCAACTAGCATGTGTTAGGAGGCTTGCTTGTGGTGAAGTAGAGCTAGAGCAATTTGGTAACCCACCATCTTATTGTCTAACAAAGATTGCTCTAGTGCTTTGTTTTTTATAGGCTATTCACCTTCTCTAACCATTTAGATCCTATCAGCGTGGGGAGTGGTGGTTCTAGACCCCACGAGTGGACCACCGGCTCTACACCCATGGTCTAGCAATGATGCATGCGTGGCCAGTCTCATCGTAGAACCGGCTCTCCCCACTAGTGGAGCTCACAGGTGTGGCTCTCCGTCGATTGTTTCCCGACCATAACCGACCCCCCCATTGGGTATGGATTGACGGGATATGAGCTCATCATCCCTATACCACGCTCGGTTCTCGTCCCATTCCATATAGCCGAACAAGGGTTATGCTATCCACCCTCCCTTATTTTCTATTTCTAACCTTTTTTTCTTCTCTGTTTTCTTCTTTTATTTATTTTGTTCTTTCCCTAGCCCACCACCCATCGCTCTCGGGCGAGACGGCGCGCATCCGGCTCCTCCGTTCCGCCTCTCCCGCCCTGCCTCCCGCGCCGTCTCGCCTCTCATCGCCGCCCCGCCTCCCTCCGTCGTTCCTGGCCATCGGGCTTCTTCTCCGTCGCCGGCTACGCGCGTGAGGAGGAGCCGCAGCGCGTGGATCCAGGGGCAGCGGCGTCCATCCGGCGTGAAAAGGGAGAAGGAGCCGGTGAGATCTACTTTTTTCAGCTCCTCCATCTCTCGCAGCTCTCTCTCAGCGCGTTTTGCGGAGATTCGTCGGTGGAGCTGGGGAGCTGGTTGCTGTGAACCCAACGGGGCCGATCTTCCTCGCAGCGCCGGCGCTCCATCCCCATCCCCCCCCCCCCCCCCCCCCCCCCCCACCCCGCGCCCCTCTCTCGCCAAGGCGGGAGCCAGCAGCCGCTGCTCCACCAAGGCGGTCGCGCCGCTTTGGGAGCGCTTATGCCCCAAAGCGAAGCGGTGCATATCCGCTTAGCGCTTCAGCGTGCGCTTAGTGCCGCTTTTTAGAACCCTAATCAAGAAATTGATATGATTTGTAAGGTTTTGGGTGTTTCTTCTGTTTGGATTTATACCCTCTTTCGGATGTTTCTTTGTTGCAGGAGCATTTGCCATGCCTGACATGGAGTCCGTCGCGGCCCTTATGGAATCAACAAGCTCCAAGATACAGCAGCTTCAGGAGGCATTTGCTGAGCTTGAGAGCCAGAGTGCTGTCTCCATGAACCTCAAGTGGAAGCAGCTTGAAGACCACTTTCGTGGCCTTGAACAGTCCCTCAAGAAAAAGTTTGACGAGCTAAAAGAGCAGGAGGAGGAGTTCCAGGAGACTCTTGCAAAATCAGATCTGATGCTGGAGCAGCGGGAGGCAGCTGTTGTGGCCAAGGAACTGACCTCTTTGGAGAGGTTGCAGGAGAAGAGGGATGCTGCATTAGCTATGATCTTTAGCAAGTCCAGGCTTTCCTTACCTGTTCCTGCCATCAATCCAATGAACAAGGCACTGGATAATCTTGGCGTCAAGTGGCCTAAACCGGCTTCTGAAGAGAGTGTGCACTTGCAAGATGGTAATGCTGCAGTGAGGCCTCGTTCTGAGCTTGCCTCACTCTGTGAGGAAATGAATGTGAAGGGGCTTCATAAGTTCATATCCGACAACAGGAAGAACTTGGCAGCCATCCGTGAGGAAATTCCCAGTGCACTGAAGAAAACATCTCATCCTTATGGCCTGGTGTTGGATTCCCTGGAAGACTTTTATTCTGGAGATAATCTTGTATTAGATGGCAAAAAGGATGGAGACCTTCTGGGTGTTAGAAGGACGTGCCTGATGTTGATGGAGTCACTTGGACAGCTGCAAGCTAATGATATAACTTGTTTCTCTTCGGAGGGGCACATGCTTACAACTAATATCGTAGAGCGAGCAAAGAAGATTGCATTTGAGTGGAAGTCCAAGTTAGATAATCTTGACATTGATGCTAGTAATGGGAACTGTCTTGAAGCTCATGCATTTCTTCAACTCCTGGCAACCTTTGGTATTTCTGCTGAATTTAATGAAGATGACCTGTGCAAATTGCTTCCATATGTCAGTCGTCGTCGTCAGACACCTGAACTTTGTCGATTGCTTGGGTTGTCGCAGAAAATGCCAGGTCAGTGCTCTGGTGGACTAATGATTTATCTATCTCAAACAACATTGAACATCTGTGAAAGATCTGTATTCTTTCAGTGTACTGAAATGCTTGACAAATATTCATAGGACATTGTTTCACACTTATGTTACTTTGGGTGTTAATTTCTGTGTAGTTTTGACTTTCTTGTTTTCTGGTTAGTGGTGAATACTGGTCAAGGATACACACACACAAAAAAAAAAAAAACGGATTAAAATTCCAATATTACTTTTGCTGTCAAAAACTTCACATAAGCTGCATACTTCGTTTTCTTGCAATAAAGTGCCTATTGTTTGTAAAGTGTGCCA